AGTTTGAAGAGAAAACTGAACCTCAGCCAAAGAGATAGAATCTAAGCGAGAAGTAAGATTAACAACTACCGCTTCATAATCCGATCCCAAACCACCAAGCACATACAACGCCAACTCATCATCAGAAATAATGTGACCAACAGAGAGCAACTCATCGGCAAAGCTACGCATCTTAAGAATGTACTCATCCACAGACAGATCACCCTTTTTGAGAGTCTGAAGCTGGAATTTAAGATGAAGTATACGAGCTTTGGACTGAGTATGAAAGAGTTGAAGTAAAACTGTCCAAACCTCAGCCGATGAAGAACACCGAGTGACATGACCAAGCATAGATTCAGTCATGGACGCAAGCATCCAGCTGAGAAGAAGCTGATCAGTGCTCATCCAAGAGAGAAACTCCGGATTGATGATCGGAGTAGAAGATCCAGTCGCCGGGGAAAGAAATTTAACCGGCGGGGATGAATTAAGCAGAAAATCCTCAAGGCCATATGCCCTAACTGTAGAGAGAATCTGCAGCTTCCAGTAGGAAAAATTCGAGCGATCCAGTCGAAGAGGGAGGGGAATGAGATGAGAAATCGGCGCCGACGCCGGCGGCGAGATCTGAAGCTCAACCATGGCGAGAGAGATTCAACACGGAAAAAGCCCTAGCTTTGATACCATATTGAGATAGAAAATGAACATAATATTTCTGTGTATTGAACTCAATTCAGATTGATTACAGAGTACATATATGTTTTATACAATGTGATAGAAAGCTGCAAGCCAATAGCTTAGCTGGCACGCACTAACTATGTAAACAACATTTCTATTAACCACTTTTCTATTTTCTAACTGATTACTCTAATAAAATTAATTGTCATTCGAGAATTTCTAATGAAATGAATCCAACCGGTTATCATTTTATTTAGTTGGTTAAATTTAGATACTTTGATTAAAATTGGGTGAATGGATGATTTGGAATAAGTGTGTTCACGGTACGGATTAGTCCGGTTTTAGCCCAAACTATGATCAAACCGGACCTAACGGTTAATTTTTTTTCTTGTCCATAACCGGACCAGTTTTATTTTTTAACCGACCACAATCCGGACCGCATTGGACGGTCCAGTTTGACGGTTAACCAGTTAAATTCAAAATCCTTGTTTTAGGCCTTCAATTTTTTTTATTATTTTTTTTTCACAAATTTTATTTTTTCATTTTTTTGCCCAAAATAGATTATTTGGGCCTAAAAATTAAGAAAAACAACAATAATAAAATAAAAAAATACACAATTCGTCCCATAAGCATAAAAATACACATTTCGTTCCATAAACATAAAAATACAAAAATGATGAAAAAATGAAAGTGGGAAAAAGTGAAAAGTTATAGTGTCTTACAAAATTAAGTCAACAAAAGGCCAAAAAGTGAAAGTGAATGTATTGTATTTGTCGGTCATAGTATGTTACAATTTTTTAATATTTAACAGTCCGGTCCGGTTAAACCGGCGGTTTGCCGCAGGTAATCCGTTAACCGGACCGGTTATTCTAGATTTTTAAAAAAATTAACCACCGAATTTTTTAAGGCTTTTTAACCGACCATTTAACCGATCCGCGGTCCGGATTGACGGTTTTTTCCGGTTAAAATCAGACTGTGAATGTCCCTAATTTTGAGTATGTACTTAATAATATTATTTATGTAATAATTAAAGTTGATGTTATGTAATAATATGAAATTATTTAAAGTAGCATGTAGTCAAAATTATGAGAGATGATGAATAGTGTATTAAAGTAGAGTAGTAGCATCCCGCGAGTCAGTATGACCATTTTTGAAAATAATAATTAAGAGTTTTTTGGAAATAGATTGCAAAAATTTAACTCTGATTTCTATAATTCTAGTATTAAAAGGCGGGGTGTTACATCATATATACATTTAATTAATAAATATTGAAAGTAGTTGCTTACAATTAGTGATGGCAATGGGGAATTCCCCATCGGGTATTGACTCCCCATACCCATCCCCGCGAGAGAATTTTCTCCCCATGGGGATCCCCATTTATGCTTTCGGGGAGGATTTTCTCCCCATCCCCATTACCCGCGGGGATAAATCCCCATCGGGGATCCCCATACCCGCTAATTGTTATTGATATGTATTTTATTTATACTATGTAGGTGGCATAACATCACATTATATGATTTCAATTTATCACATTACATACATAATATGATATTATGTTTACATATTTAATATATTCTCATGTAATTACATCATCATTCATGTGTATGTATAAATATATTGGAATAACTTGCATGTATACTAGCTTAACGGGTCCCCGCGGGTAAATGGGGACGGGGATTGGTTCCCCATCCCCATACCCGTTTACCCGTCGGGGATGATTTTCTCCCCATTAGCACCCCCATGGGGGAAGATTTCATCCCATCCCCATCCCCTAATAGAGGAATTCCCCACGGGTAATCGGGGATCGGGTCCCCATTGCCATCCATACTTACAATTGGCAACTCCCCTGATTTAATGAGATTTACATTTTGTAATTTTTTTTAACTTTACCTTATCGACCTCAAGTCATATCAATCTTCTCCATTCTTCTCTTTTTTTTTCTTTTTTTTTAAAATTCTTGGCACCATTGTAAAAATATGAAGCTTATTCCACAAATGGATCGAGTTCTCGCTAGGGAGCAACGTGAGTCACGCGACTTGTGGCGGCGTGATCGGATATGTGGGAGCGATGTGGTGGATGGAATGAAGAGATCCATCGAGTGTTCGGCTACTTCAATATGACGACGACGACATCGACATACGACCATTGAGGCGACCAAGAGGTCAGGGATCTGCGAACAACACTGACGCGTTGTGGGAACTCGATCTATCAAGCATCGACGACGGAGGGATGAGCAGACGAAGTTTCTCCAAGGTGGCGCGACGAGGTGAATGGCGTCCCCGCTTTCGAGCAATAGTGGTTCGTGTGGCTCGTCCAAAGCAGAAACGACTGGTGGCGGTGAACTGTCGAGCACCTCGGGTACGAGCGACTGCGATTGTGGTTGTGGGTTCTTCTCGGGAATGATTATCGATGGAGTCTCAGTGGCGCAACGACAACCCTGCTTATGAGCAACAACGACGTGCGGATAGTTTTGGTCGGATATGTTTCTTTGTTTATTTGATGTTTATGTGCAGTTCATGTTTGGTTTATTAGCATATTTTTCTGGTGATGAGAAATTGATATGAGGCGACAAATGTGCAAATTTTTTTAATGATTGTTTATGTTGTTTTCTAATATTCATATAAATGTTTTTTGTTTCGTTTTTATTTATAGTTTTGCTGTGTGTTTATGTTTAGTTGTTGAGTACTTTTTGTGAATTGATGTTTGATTTTGGTTATGGTTCTTACCGCCAAATAAGAACCAGTTAATGAATGTTTGTTTTTGTTTTTTGTTTTTTTTTTTCATGGTTTCTTTCAGTTCATGTTTGTTTTATGTTTTCAATTGTTGCGTACTTTTTGTAAACAAAATGCAACATATATTGACTATAAATGCAAATAAACTAAACTTATTCTGATGTCCGTCTTGCACTAGATTAAGATGCTTATCGTTAAAATCTGACCTCTTTTTATTATAACTGTTGACCTGATCAGTTTTGTCTTTATATTTTACGAAGACGTAAATTGTACATATAAACGTAAGTTGTGTATATCTACTTTTATGTTATATACATAGTTACATGTTATAAACCAATCATAAACTTAACTTTGGTTGAGCAAAAAAAAAAAAAAAACATTGTAATTTAGTATGTGTAATTTTATTTTAAATCGTGAGAGCGCTTATAATATATGTTTTGCATATCAATGGTTTACGAATTGTAGATATAAAATTAAATAAAAAAAGATGGTTGATGACAAGTGCTTGAACACTTGAAAGATTTTGGTTGGAGGAGAACATTGTCCTCGTTATTTTTGTTTTTGCGAGTGAGGAACCGACTTGTGGTTACCCACTACGTTCTTGAAAGCCGTCTCGGTTGTATGACTTTCAATTTTGATCAATACAAATTTATTTAACGATAAAAAAAATTAAATAAAAAATCTAAACAATGAGTATAAATAAAATACAAACATCACAATTGTGTTTGGATAATGTTATGTACATAAAAATGCAATATATACTGAAAATGCACCGAATATAAATGCAACATATACTGAAAATCACGGATTAATACCCAAAACCGTGACCATGAACATGGCATTCTTCTACTCATCCGCAACCTCATAACGAAACTTCTCGGCCTCACGGGTCATCGCCACCATGTGCTCTCAACAGCTCGGTCGGTTTGGAAGTTGGTTTCGTTTATCTCACGCACGCTCTCGATCAAATCTCTTCCCCTCTAGATCCCCTATGCGTTGCCTCGATCTCGAACGCGACCCAGATCGGCGAGGAGCCCGTCGAGGGGCTGAGTCTCAACCTCAATCTCGAGAAAGCGGTCGTAGACCTCGCGCTTGGGTGTCGTGGTCCGCCGTGAAGGAGGTGGCATCGGCCGATACGCAACGGTCGATGCGCGACTGTCGATCCCCACAAAACGTCGGCACCAGTGCACCTGACAGTGAAGGAGACTGACCACAAATATGATACACCGATTTTTTTTTTTTCAGAAAAAATTATCAACGATACTTACCATGTGAGAGAAGATCTTTTGTGTTTTTTCAATTATGTAAATTACCATTTTTAATCCACACTTTAATTATCTTGTATTTGCCTAATTAAATAGGTATATATACAACTGTATATGAGCAAATAAAGCCATGGGATGAATGTAAATTGGCCTTTTTAAACAGTTTTTAACTTCTATCAATTGGGCCGGTCAAGCCCACACAACTTAAAAATCGTCATTGTCTTGTGTAAAAAGATAGCTCTGCAACTTTTCTCTTAATCGTATATATTTCTCCAAACTTTCTCTGTGCAATTACATCTAATTCACTTTTCAACGAAAAGGAAATCTGAGCTCGAAATACTTCGCCGTAACAATGGACTCCGTGAAGATGATTCCACTCGAAGGCCGCGTCGACGATCCACTCCGCTATGGGATTCACGGTGTGAAGAGTGATATCATCGAGCCTCACCCCCTTGAATCTGCCCAGCGCACTGTATATCTTTATGTTTTCGTTTTGCTCGCTTTTGATTATCCATTGTTTTGTTTGATTTTCGAGCTTTTAATTCAATTTAATTTTGATTTTTTATTTTTTTCGCTAATCGATGAGCAGGCGAAGGCGAGGGAAGAAGAATTGAAGAAGAAAATACTGGCGAATACTTACGGGGCGGCGTTTCCGATGAAGATGGAGCTCGACCGCCAGATTCTCTCCAAGTTTGTGTTTTCCTAGCTCTTTTTCCCCTTGCTGTGACTTTGTGTTTTTTTCTTGTGGTTTAGAAGCTTGTAGGGTTTCTTATTGGTGTGAATATATATTTGTTAGTTGTGAATGTGTGTGCATCTTGTTTCTAAATGCTCTTGTTTGATAGTTAAATAGGCAAGGCCATGGTGAGAGTTGTCAATCTAAACTCTGAAGAGGTAAGCTAACTTCATGTTGAGTATTGAGGGAATTATGTGACTTTGATGAAAGTAGAAGTTTGAAATAAAACCCTCGAAGCCTTGGATTTATGTTGGAAGTATAAACACTGAAATTGACTATTGAGTTGTACTGTAGGTCTCTAATTTCAAGTTTATTCTGCGCTTAATTCGCATTTATTTTCACTGTGCATACTCAATCAAAGTTCAACTAGTGCTTGTGAACGGGATATTATAACATAAAATTGCGTTCGTTCCATATCTCTACAATTACTTGTAGTAAGTCGAATTGCTATTTGATTTGTATCCACTCATTTCTTATGCTGTTCATTATCAGCCATCTTTGTATAATTGGAAAGGACTAATTTGTTTTTAATAGTTGTTGGGAAATATTAATCATGCAAAGGCCATTTAGCTTGGCCGCTATACCATGGCTGCATTGTGGCAGCTTTGCTATGGTGGTTCCATAGCAGCTTCTATGAACATGGTAACTATGTGGTGTGGCGCCCATGCTGGAAAGTTGTGGTTTTTAACCAGATTCTGCCCATATAGAAACAATAGGTAATGGCCAGCCCAGTTTTGCCTAAATCTATCCAGATCTGTTAATAGAATGTCCTAATCTTTGCTTCAAGAAAGTGAAAAGCCACCCTCCTGCTGGCGACCAGACCTCCGATGGCCTACCCTTCAGCAGCCGCCCCCCGGCGGCCCAACCTCGTGCAATCATTAATTTCTTTGTTCCTTCTTTTGTTCCCTTTTCCCCGTTCGATGTACACATTCTTTTTCCCTACTTTTTCTTTTTCTATCTTTTTCCAATTGTTTTTGCTCAATTTAATTTCTAAATAGACTATTGGCTACTTATCCATTAAGATGTTATATATGTGTGGATACATATAATAGGTGTATAAGTATGTATAGAATGTTTTTTTGGGTCCAGCACTTCTGCCATTTTTGCCTCGCCATCCGCCATATATATATGACGATTTTCTTGCTCCCTTCCATCCGCCATTGATAACAGTCACATGTTAATAAATAAATAGACTTGTACATAAGTCAACATATAATTCGTGGATGGCTTCAAAAAATTATATAGAGATGCCTTTAAGAAAATGAAGATGGTTTTCTTCAATTAATTTTTTCATTGTTATTCAAATAGTTGGTCTAGGACTTTATAATCTGAAAATTTTTATCGTTAATAACACACGTCATAGTTTTATATTTTAAATGTTGCTTTGAGTCTTCTCCAACTCCCTAACTTCCTGTGACTGTAACACAAAGCCGTCACTCTTCTAGCATTGACTTTTGATCTTGACAAATGATGCTTTGGTATTGCCTTGAGGAAACTAAAAACATTTAGCTTCCGTTGAGCAAATTTTCTTCTCTCAGGAGATGGCTTTGAGAACACATATGGGACTTAAACATCATGGTCGCATATGTGTTCTCAAAGTCATCTCTGAAATGCGGCTAATAAAGCAATACCAAGTCAGCCATGCGTGGGGAAGGATTTCTAAAGAACTTATATACTTGTAAATGAAGCAAGAAGACTCAAAAAAACGTTTAAAATTCATAAAACTATGGATCTTAAATTCATCCAAATAAGCTCAGTGGACTTGTGTTATTAAAGATTAAAAATTCTCAGATTATGGGATAAGTCCCAGACCAACTATTATTAATTGAGGAAAACTCTTTCCATTTTCTTAAAGTCATCACTATAGAACTTTTTGAAAGATTCAAATTTATTTGACCAGTATTTTACATAATAGGACATAAATTCTATGGATCCAGCATACAACTCCTGTTTGTTAGAACCTTAGAACAAAGTGATGGCATCAAGGTTACAGTCATGAATGCGACATTCAAATAAAATAAAAGGTGAATAGGTGCAACAAAGTAAACCTTAGAACCTACGTCATGAATGCGGCTGGTAAAGCAATACCAAGTCGGCCAGAAGAGTGATGGCATCAAGGTTACAGGGAAGTTGGGTGAAGAATTTCTATAGAACTTATATACTTGTAAATGAAACACGAAGACTCAAAGCTAAATGTTCTTATCTTGTCCATGAGCTTTTGTCGTAAATTTTATCTTGTCCATGAGCTTTCGTATGATTTTGAGAATTTTTAATTGAAAATCTCTATAGAAGTTATCTTATAACAATTGATTGATAATTGTTGCCTCTTTTTCTGCGCAGATTCCAAAGGCCTCCTGGAGTCATACCGTCTTCCTTTGTAGGTTTAGAGGCCTTTTCTGGAAGCCTGGAAAATTTTGGTTTTGAAGATTATCTCAACGGTAATGATGTAGTGAGATGGACCATTTATAATTCCTTATAATTTACTTTTGCTCATCTTTTAAACAAAGTAAATGTCAAAGTGAGTATCTTGTTATTATAGACCAACTGGTGCTATAATTCAGGGGTCTTTTTGATATACTTTTGATTTCATGCGAAGTACGGCTTTAGAAATTTAGGTGACACACATGCAGACACGAAATAAAAGGATAGAACCACTATAGAGATTTTATTTTATATCTAATACTAATAATGAGGAAGGAATTTATAAGTTGTGTCGAAAAAGATGTACAATGTTTTTAAATTTTAATGCACATATCTTTAAACTTTCAGATCCCAGGGAATCTGAAACATTTCGCCCGGTTGATATGCATCATGGAATGGAAGTTCGGCTTGGGCTGTCAAAAGGACCACCGTGCCCCAGTTTCATGTGAAAGCTCGAGATTGAATTTTATTGTGGCTGTGTATTCGACTGTTGAATTATTGTGAGTTCGATCGAGATGCAATCAATATTTGAACATTTCCTAGGCAATCTAAAAAATATGGATGGAACTGTTATTTTTACTGTTTTGACTTGAGATTATCCTCTGCACTTGTGGGTGTTTTGCTGCTAATACAATCTTTTTTTATGATCGATCGAGTTTAGCAAAGCTGAGATACCATTCAGAAACCTTTTCTTTTACAGCAATGGCATTAACCTTGTTATGTAGACGTAGTTCCACGTGGCCATGGCCACCCGGCCTGTCGGCCCGGCACAGACCTGGCCCGAACAAACCCGTTGACCACGGGTCAGGGCTCGACTCGATTTCAACCGGGCCGGTCCAGGGTCTTGTTTTTGTCGAACCTGGCTGGAGGTCCGGCCTGGGAAAAAACACATAGTTTTAATTTTTTTAAAAAAAATTTGGGCGGGCCCAGCCCAGCCCGCCGGGCCATGGATTTGGCACGGCCTAGGTCTGTGCCGGTTCAGGGTCTATGAAACCCAACCCTTCGGCACGTGCTCGGTCTGTGTTTTGGCCATGTCTAGCCGTAGTGTTGGTTGGTGGTGCAATGTTATTTTTCTTTTTAATTATTAATTTTTACTTAGAAATGGTGTTGATCCCGACTAAGAAAGATTTCGTACCATTTTATTTAGCATAGTGTTGATTTGTGATGCCATATTATTATTTTTTAATTAGGAATAGTTTTTATCCCGTTTAAGAAAGATCTCGTACCATGTTTTTTTTTTTTTTTTTTTTTTTTTT